TGACTCCTGTTATTAGGTTAATATTATGCTGTTTTCATGTAAATACACTCTAATATGCCATGTGGGAACTTTGTGATTTATAACTAGAAAGCTAAATTATAAATAGGAAGGCTATGGTAATAACTCTTAGGAAGAAACTCAATATTAATAAAATATTGGACATTTTGAAGAAGAGATTATTTCCAGTTAGGAACACATTTATTGAAATCTTTGTGACATAAAGATTCTTAATTTACATGTGGACTTAATACATTTTTAAAAACTATTTTTAAAAATATTTATTTTTGAGAGAGAGAGACAGAGTGTGAGTGGGGGAGGGGCAGAGAGAGAGGGAGACACAGAATCCAAAGCAGGCTCCAGGCTCTGAGCTGTCCACACAGAGCCCAATGCGGGGCTCAAACTCACGAACCATGAGATCATATCCTGAGCCGAAGTCAGTTGCCCAACTGACTGAGCCACCTAGGTGCCCCTGGACTTAATACATTTCTGAGGAAACTAAAACCAGGCCCTTTACAGCAAATGTTAGGAATGGAGGACAAAGTAACTTTTAAAAATATGCTGTAAATTTAGATGAGTTATTCTTGATTAAATAATGCTTCTTAGTCATTTGACAATCTGCCAATGATAATCTCTAGCATGGTATAAAACCCCCCACAATATAGAAAAAAATTTCTGGAGCGTTTGATATTTTTATAATTTATGTATGAAGGATTACACAGATTAAGAATACAAATGCTTTCTATAAGACCATCTCATAAGGAAATGCTTCTTCATAAGGATTTGTTTTATTTTTTAGTTGTAAAAGTGAATCAGCTGAAAAAAATGATTAATCACCTAATATGTGTAAGATTCTAGGATAGATTTAGTGGGAGAAACAAGTGAAAGAGATGAGTGTATCACTAAGGAAATTTATAAGATAGGTGAAATAAGAGATAGATGTGTAAAGGTAGTAACACCCAGCCGTGTAGAATAAAAAATGAGTGAGAGGGACGACAAGTGCAAAAGAAGTCCAAAGAGAGACATCACTTTGGGTCACTTATTTATTGTCTACGCCCTGCTGTATTTCAGGTGAAGGAGGTGTCTTAAATTCCATGGATTAGGGAGAGGGTGAATTAAGAAGAGCTTGGTAGCAAAGATAAACCTGTGGCTGGGTCTTAAAGGTGCCCAAGGAGGGCAGGTAAGGAAGAGGGTATTCCAGATGGTCCTAGTGGTATGGGTGCCAGAATGCAGAAGCATGGGGCACAGCTAAGGAAAGGCAAGTAGGACAGTGTGTTGCCTGCAGAAGAAGAGCAGCAGATCAAGTGAGCAGGTTTTTGAGAATGAGTTCTGGAGCTCTTTGAATGTTAGGATAGGAGCTAAAACTTAAATTTTTTTTTTTTTTCAACGTTTATTTATTTTTGGGACAGAGAGAGACAGAGCATGAACGGGGGAGGGGCAGAGAGAGAGGGAGACACAGAATCGGAAACAGGCTCCAGGCTCTGAGCCATCAGCCCAGAGCCCGACGCGGGGCTCGAACTCACGGACCGCGAGATCGTGACCTGGCTGAAGTCGGACGCTTAACCGACTGCGCCACCCAGGCGCCCCTAAAACTTAAATTTATACATACTGATGAGCTGCTCAGGACTTTGGCATGTAAGTAATAGGATGAAATAGGATTTTAGGAAGATTAATCAGTGGTGGATATGAGAGTATGGACATGGCAAAGATAGGATATGAACAAAAATGAAGGAGATTTGATAGCACTTCTGAGGTAAGGGGGAATGGCCTGAAGTGTCTGTGTGACAGCAAGAATGCAAAATAAAGAATTGATGTGGAAGACAATTGAAAGGAACAGCTGGCGGGTCTTAGTGAGTGAAAAGATAAGAGGATGAGGGAGATAGTAAACTGTAGGTCTATGTTGTAACTTAAATTATAATGTAGAGAATAATAAGAGGATGAGGGAGATAGTAAACTGTAGGTCTATGCTGTAACTTAAATTATAATGTAGAGAATAAAAATATTTGTGGAAAAGGCCATAAAAGTTATTTTCAGAGTATGTGTCCAAGTACCTTGGCTCAAAGAGTATTTAAGAAGACATAATTTAAGTAGTTTCTCCACAAGGATATATTTTATTTTTTTTGTTTTACCTTCTTCTTTTTTGCTTACTTAGTTCTTTTGGTTCTGGGATTTATGAATTAATCAAAAAGTTTATTGTGTATGTATGTAGCACACAACTAATTAGTATTCTCTCATATCACTGAGACAAATTCTAGAACACTAGCTTACCAGAGAGGATTGCATCTGTAAATGTAAAGAGTAAAGAGAAGTAACTAGTTATATAGTAGAAAAGTCAGAAATGTGAAAAACATACAGAGAAGAGATACTTTGTAAATTTTATGAAATCTTTTATCTATTTGGATCACTTTGCACAATGACATAAAGGTTGAAGGTGGATTAAATACATAGTCTAGTTATGACTATACATTTATATAATAAAATGTCAAAGGAGAGCTAAAAACTGGAAATAACCCAGATATCCATCAGTGGAAGAGTGGAAAACAGTGTTATATTCATATAACTTGGCAATGAAATGGAATGGACTATTCAACAATGAAAAGAAAATTCAAACAACAGCCTGGATGAATAGCAGAAACATTGTGTTGAGTCAGAGAAGTCTTACACAGGAGTATATACTGTATGATTCCATTTATATGAAGTTCTAGAACAGGCAAAACTTATCTATGGGGAAAAAATCAGAACCATTGTTACCACTGGGGTGGTGGTGGGAGTGAGGGATTAACAAAGAAGGGGCATGAGGAAACTTTCTGAAGGTGATAGTGTTCTATGTCTTCATAGAGGTTTGGGATCACATGGATGTATGCTCTTCTCAAAACTAAGTGGTATGCTTGGTATTTGTCCATTTTACTATGTGTAAGTCTCACCTAAAATGTAAATAAATATTGAGCCTTGGTTAGTGATAACCATGCTGAAGTGTATAGATAGGCTGATGAGTACTGATGTGTGCAACTTATTTTATTTTTTAATTTTTAATTTTTTTGCTTTCAAAAATTTTAATTGTAGTAAAATGTATTTTTTAGAGTAGTTTTAGGTTCACAGCAAGATTGGGTGGAAGGTACATAGATTTCCCATATACCCACTCCCCCTGCCACACAACACATGGCCTCCCCCCTCACCAATATTCTCTACAAGGGTGGCACATACCCTACAATTGGTGAACCTCTTTTGACTCATCGGAGTCCATAATTTACATAAGAGTTCACTCCTGGCATTCATTCTATGGATTTGGATAAATGTATAATGACCTGTATACACCATTATAGTATCACACAAAGTTTTTAAACATTTTTTAAAAATTTTTAATTGAAGTAAAGTTGACCCTATAACATTATATTAGTTTCAGGTGTAAATCGTGATTTCACAGTTATATAAATTACAAAATGCTTACCAGGTAAGTGTAGTTACCATCTATCATCATACAAAGTTATTACAATATTATTGACTCTATTCTCTACGCTGTACTTTTCTATGCTTGTGACCTATTTATTTTATAACTGGAAATATGTACCATTTTATCCTCTTTACCTATTTTGCTTATTTTGCCACCCTTCTCCCCTCTGGCAACAACCAATTTGTTCTTTGTATTTATGAGGAAGTTTCTTCAGTTTGTTTTGATATTTAGAGTCCACACGTAAGTGAAGTCATATAGTATTTCTTTTCTCTGTCTGACTCATTTCACTTAGCATAGTACCTTTTTGGTCCATGTCTAGGTCCATCCATTCATGGATGACAAAACTTCATTCTTTTTTACGGTTGAGTAGTATTTCACTGTGTGTGTGTATTTTCCAAATCTTTTTTATCCATTCATCTGTCTGTGGATGCTTGGGTTGGTTCTATAGCTTGGTTATTGTAAATAATGCTTCAATAAACAAAGGGGTCATATATCTTTTCAAATTAGTGTTGTTTTTTTTTTTTTGATAAATACCTAGAAGTTGAATTATTGGGTTGGATGGGATTTCTATTTTGAATTTTTTGAGGAGCCCCATACTGTTTTACACAGTGGTTGCACCAATTTACCTTCCTACCAACAGTGGACAAGGTTTCCCTTTTCTCCACATCCTCGCCAACACTTGTTATGTCTTGTCTTTTTGAATGTAGCCATTCTCACATGTGTAAGGTGGTATCCCACTGTGGTTTAATTTGCATTTCCCTTACGATTCGTGATGTTGAACATTTATTCACGTGTCTGTTGGCCATCTGTTTTATCTTCTTTGGAAAAATGTGTATTCAGGTTCTCTGCCCATTTTAAAATCAGATTATTTGATTTTTTTGATGTTGACTTCTTTATATATATATATATTTGGATATTGATGCCTTATCAGATATATCATTTGCATATATTTTTACTTTTGCTCTCCTTGCCCGAAGATACTATCTAGAAAAGTATTGCTAAGGCCGATGTCAAAGAAATTACAACCTATAGTTTCTTCTAGAAATTCTATGGGAGAAATTACATTTTAATTTTAATTTAGCTGCATATGGCTAGTGGCTACCAGATTGGACAGTGCATCTCTGCAGTGTGCTTTTCAAACTATCTGAGGAAAAGAACCAGTTATTTTAAATTTCAAATCTGTAATGGACTATAAATTGCAGTAAAAATTACTACAAAGGTGAAATGAGAAAGAAGCAAAGATATGTAAAATACCACCTCATTCAAAAGCACTAGATTCAACAGACATTAAATTACTCTGTCAAAATTGCTAGAAATGTTTCTACACACTTTCAGTTTTTGTATTTTGTGTCATCATGTACCAATGACAAGTAGTTTTTAGATTGGCAATGGTCATGGACAACACTTTGAGCTAGGTAGATATCTTGTTTTTGCTCAATGTGCTTGAGAATAAATAGTTTCCTAACACCAACTGTTTATGTTAAAATTAATGGTACAGATTATTTTTTACATGTTTAAGTACTACTCAATAATGTGGTTACTGATAAAACAGTTAACATTCTTTATAGCAAGTCTTGTCTGGGATAGCTGTATATTGACAGTGCAATGTAGACAACTTCAGGGTGGACTGAGAAGGCTTATTTGATCCAGTGAAGCCATTTTTGCAGTTAGAGGTATAAGCCAAAAAATCCTTCCTTCTATAAAGTTCAGCCCGATGTTTACAGCAGCCAAATTTGCTCAGCAACAGAAAGAAATCCCTTTGGAATGCCTTTGTGAAAATCGCATACAGAAATGGATTGGCGCAAGAATTGACAGGATAAAAAAGAACCAGTAAAACTTTAGAATTGGTTACTGTGATAAGGGGCACTTTGAAGGCAGCTGAGATGGCAAAAAAAGAGATAGGTGCCATGCAGGTGAAATCAGTGAAGATGAGGACCGCCATTTTCTTAGCAATTTTTTTATCTTTGTTGGTAGCCATCAGCTCTGGATTTTGAACTGCAAAATAAATTTTAATGTAGCAAGCACAAATGATGATGAAGGCCACCACATTGAGTATCAGGATGGTTAATATGTAGACTTGTGAGAGAGTGGTTTCCACATCCATGGGGAGACAAATGCTGACCTTCATATAATTGCTGACACCCACAAGGGGCAACATGGCAACTAGAGTAGAAAAGAGCCATCCTACAAGCATAATAGGAATGGCATGTCTTAAACGCAGCTTTTGGTCCAGCTGAATAGCATAGGTTATAGTGTGCCATCTTTCTAGTGTGATAACTGTGAGTGTGTAGACAGAAAGCTCACTTGAAAATACAGTGAAAAAGCCAGCTGCACTACACCCATTCCCTGTCTGCCAATCTATGGCATGGTTATAATATTGTCCTTTGGTTTGGGAATCAACTGAGGCAATGAGCAGCAGATAGAGCCCCATGCAAAAGTCTGCAAAGGAGAGATTGCACATGAGAAAACGGGGCACTGTTAGTTTATAACGACTAGTCAGGAGAACAACGAGGACAGTCACATTTCCCATGATGGCTAGGATATTAATAAGCCAAATCAGAACCCTGAGGAAGTCATAGCCCATAATATCTTCACAGGGATTAAAAGCATCTGGTTCGGGAGCACATCGGAGTGTCTTGGGTGAGCAGAAACCATAGTCATAATCCCAGGCACTCAGTTCACTCTCAGCAAAGATGGCAGAATAACTGTAAGAAGAATATTTTGTCTCAATGTAAACTTGAGATTTTCTATGATTCTTTGTATTTAAAAAAATGAATCATCCTTAGTGTTTTTTTTTTTTTTTAAGCCTATGAAACAAAAGGGAACAAAGCCACAACAGCCTCAGTCTTAGGTTTGTTAAATTATTAACAAATAATGTTTATTTGTTAAATTATTAACAAATAATGTTTATTTGTTAAATTATTGTTAAACAATTTGTTAAATTATCTTAGAATTCTGAATGGAAATAGGAATTTCTTTAGGGAATGAAAAGCTATATATATATACATATATATATGTATATGTATATGTATATGTATATGTATATGTATATGTATATGTATATATGTATAGGTATCTCCTGTTGATGCACAGACTTATGAAGCTGTTTACAACGGATGAGTTTTCTTTGGAAAACAAATTTAGAGACACAGTATATGCTTGCTATGTCTACAAGAACCCTTTCTTGGCATTTTCCTAGGTATTCATCTCATTTAGTTGCCAAACTGCTGTCAAGCCATGTGTCTTTGGTAGAACACTAATGGGACTGAAGGGCTCACACTGCCGAAAATTATCAGCTGTGGGTAGACTAGCTTCAACATTGGTCCCTGGCTAATCAAATAGCCCAGGTAAGAAGTGGAAACCAAGGATGGACAATCAGAAACCCAGGAGCTGAAGCCAAATACAGATATGGACAATAGGGAGAAATGGTGAAAATAGATACTCCTTAGGGGTATGAGTCAAATTCAGAGAGTAGTTTGAAGAGGGGTTCCAACTCTAGTGAAGGAACAATCCCTGCTAACCTCTTCCTCCCAAACCCACTGCTAATAATTATGTTAAGATTTTCATCCTCTCTTGTAGGACAATTACATTAGTTTCCCCCCAGCATCTTTCCTCTAATTTTGGCCCTCTCTTGCTCCATCTGTACCTTCCTCCTATGATGGCTTTTCTTTACTTTTTTTTTTAATGTTTATTTTTGAGGGAGAGAGTGCAAGTGGAGGGGAGGTAGAGAGAGAGGGAGACACAGAATCCAAAGCAGGCTCCAGGCTCTGAACTGTCAGCACAGAGCCGGATGCAGGGCTCGAACTCACAGACCATAGGATCATGACCTGAGCTGAAGTCGGATGCTTAACTTGACTGAGCCACCCAGGCGCCCCATAGAATGACCCTTCTTAAGTACAGATCTATTAATTCAAACTTTTGCTAGGTTCTTGTTGTCTGTGGGATAAAATCCAGACTCCTTGTGATAACCTCGAATGATTTGGGTTATGCCTCGTCCTCCAGTCTCATTTATAAGAAGCAATAGTGCTGCACAATTTGAAACCTGGGCTCTGGAGCAAGACTGACTTTACAGGCTGTGTAAACCTGGGTGGGAGGTTTACTTACCATCTCTGTGCCACAAGGTCTTCATTTGCCAAATAGAGATACTAATCATACTTCCCTCAGGAAGGTTGTGCTAAGGATTAACTATATTACTACCTACAGAATGTTTAGAATAATACTTGGCACATATTAAGTGCTCACTAAAAGTTAGGGATTCTTATAATTATCTCTTGCAGATTGCTTGTGCAATCTTCCCTTTGGTTACATGAAATGACTGTGGCTCTCAGAATCTACTCTTTCATCCTTCTGTCTTTGTATGTGCTATTTCTTCTTCTTGCCTTCTCCTCATCTCTGGTGAATTCCTTCTTACTCTTAAAGGTAAGCCCCTCTGTGAAGCCTTTCTTGATTTCACACCCCTAAGGAGTTTATCACCCCTTCTCTCTGCCATGGCTGCACTTAAGTTCTATTGTAATTATCAAACCGTACTGCCGTTGTGTGATGATGGGTGGCTTCTTTAATAGTCTGTGAAGCTATTCTTTGATAGCTTGGGAGGCAGGGTACTAGATCTTATTTATTTCTGAACTCTCAGTGCCTCACACAGTTTTGGCTCAGACTATCCAATAAATGTTTGTGGAGTGAATAAACCAGGGTGATCCTGGCCCTGAGGAATTGAAAAGATACAGGGACAATGAGTGTGTACAGTGTGATGCATGTAGGCTCAACAAATTTTCTCTTTGCTCACAGTCTGCTAATATAATCTTGCTAGCTAGAGAAATGGGCATAATTTTTCTGTCAGGGCCATTACAAATAGTATTTTACCTTAGGGTCCCTCATACATTAAAAGAGTATTTTTGTCTACTCTCAAAACTTAGCTACTCCTGTTCTGAACAGGAAAGTGTGAACCTAGTTCAGTGAGTGGATGAAATAACATATTTGAGCAGTACAATTACTGAAGGGAAATAACATAGATTAAAAAAAGAATAAAAAGAAATCCATGATCTGGGACTCCAAGATGATGCTAGAAATTCTTAGAAACCACTTTGGAACTAGCGAAGGATTGTTGCTATGTACAGAACATTGCACAGGAAACTCACCTGCTTTATTACTAAATATGGGTACATTTGTCCTCATCTCATGCCCATTAAAAGAATATCTGTTTTTTTTAATATTTAAAACGATGTAGTGGTTATAAAGAATGATGTAAGGAAATAGGTTATTTCTTAGCATTAGAAAAGTTCTTTTTAAGAAAATTTTAATTATTTTTGAGAGACACAGAGCACAAGCGAAGAGGGGAAGACTGAGAGGGAGACACAGAATCCGAAGCAGGCTCCAGGCTCTAGGCTCCAAACTGTCAGCACAGAGTCCAATGCGGGGCTCGAACCCATGAACCGTGAGATCATGCCCTAAGCCAAAATCGGACACTTAACTGACTAAGCCACCCAGGCACCCCAGTATTAGAATTGTTCTTAAAGACATCTCACCGAACCCCTCATTTTATTGGTAAGGAAACTAAGATTAAAGAAGGCAAGTGATTAGCTCAAGGTCCCTCAGCACTAGGCTCTAGTGGCATCAGTAGGTCTTCATGTCCGTAGTGTATGGCCTTTCCTATACGTCACTGTCTCTGTCAGTGCTTTTCAAAGTGTGGTCCTTGGACCACTTCCATCAGAATCACCAGGCTGTTTGTTAAAGTGCAGATTCCTGGCTTGACTACAAACCCTGGATCAAATTCTCTAGGGACAGAGCCCAGGAACTTGTGTTTTAAGCAAGTTCCCTGGAGGATTCCTCCAAAATAATAGCCTTTATTAAATCAGGTGGAAACTTTCCAACTATTTCTGCCTTATTTCCTTTGCTGCTTTCCCCTTATCAAAACTACTTTAGCTGCTACCAGTAAAACTACTTCAGAAGCACTAATTCAAAGCTTCGAAAAATTCTGCCATGATTTCTGAATAAATTTCTATCAGTAAGAGGTCAAACATGTTCCTTGTCTCACTCCTCTGGTCCTTTGTCCTTTCTTTTTTTCTTTTTCTTTTCTTTTCTTTTCTTTTTTTTTTTTTTTTTTTGCCCTACTGAGCATATGTCTAGCAATTTTTCTCCTTGGTGATTTGCCTTCAGACCAAATACCTACCTGCTACTTAGGTTTGTGTCCTGGGACAGCTCCTGAGGGGAGCCTCATGCTTATTGACAAAACCCGGCAGGGAGCTGTCTTCAGTACTGAAGGGTCTGAATGGACTCGAATAGGCCTACAACATTGAGTCAGAGGAAGGAGGGGCCACTCCAGTTCCAATGAACAAAGACAGGAGGAAAGACGGGGACTGTAGGAGAACAAAGGGACCAGCCATAAATAACAGCAAGGACACTGATACCTTGGGGAGAGTAGGTAGGGCTTAGTGACTGGCTCTAGAATTTCTCACCTCCAGGGGCTTAGGAATAGCATTGTGGTGGGAAAGGGGGCAAGGGGATTTCACAGGGAGCACACTCTTTTTACCTAGAGTTTATGTACTAATTTCACATAGTTTTGGGGATGCTGGACATTAGGGGATTTGTTTTACAGCAGTGTTAGCATAGGAAACTCGAGACTGTAGACTTCTTTGGGAAGGCTTGGGGTGGGGCTGATGAGGATGATTGAGAGTGGGCTAACGTCTCTTGTCCCCAAAACTACCCCTTGAGGCTACCAATGACTCCAGCCAGAAGCGTTTCCTGTTGATGAGGAAAAAGCCACAGGTTGCAAAAGAGTTAATGGAAGGTGACCGACAGACCATCCAGACAAGAGCAGGGAGGGTGAGGAAAAAGAACACTGGAGGACAGTTGGTGTTGGACCTAAATGAAAGAAAAAAGGATACAGAGTATGGTATTTCTAATGTACCCCAGATGCTGTTGCATTTTGTAACAACTCTCTTCACTTTTATGGCTCTGAAAGCCAAATGATATTTCTGCTGTCCCTTGCAGATGAGGGAAAATGTCTCAAAAAAGGTAATTATTGTCCAGGGATACCCAGTGTTACAGGAACATTACTGCCAAGGATTCACATCCAACTTTGAGAAGCCCCAAAGCCCAAGGTCCTTCCAACATACCACCCTGCTGCCTCTACATAACTTGCAGATTGATAGGGAAAAAAAAACAAGAGAAAAGAAAAAAGATGTAGAAGAGGGAATGGAGAATGGCAAGGTGTTTTAGAAGGGTATCAGGTTTTGTAGCCTGAAGGACACATGGGGGGAATAATAAAACTTCTAAATCACAGTAAATGTGGCCTAGGGACGCTGGGAGTATCTTTTGAGGCATGATCTTTTACATTTGAAGGTAGGTGAAATGCCAAGGCAGCCAGGAAAAATGTTAAAAAAGTCAGTCAGTAGAATAGAAACGGATCTCCCATCCAGTGTATGTTAGTGATAGCATTGAGGTTGAATAATTTTAAGCTCCAGAGCATAGTAGTCAAGGTGGCCTGAATCTCTTTGAAGGGAAGTGACTGCTTCTAGAAGCCGTGTTTGCAATCAGTTAATCTTTGTGGAATGCTGACCACTGACTAGTGAAAATTCCTAAAAATGAAGTCATTTTTTTTTAAATGAAGTCATTTTAACAAGCCCTAAGTGACCTCAAAATACCTGCAAATAAAAATTTTAATTTCTTTGGAGAATTTAATTATAGAATGAATGTGTAGATACATTTTTTTAAAGAGTTTTTTTTTAAACAGTTAAATGTCTGTTCAACTGGATGCCACTTGTAAAGAAAAAATTCCCATTTTAAATCTATTAAAAAGTGCTTTGCAAACATCCCTCCAATGAAGACTTTTATCAAAAGAAAAGCATTGGCACTGATAATAATAAGGTGCACACAGAACGAGACATGGTTTCCTGAGTTTCTTTGCATGCAAATACTTACAGTGTTTCATTATTTGGTCTCCTTGCTGTGCTTTCACATTGTTTGGAAAAGTTTTCAAAAATGGAAAATGAAAAATTCTGCCTGAAAGAAAAGAGGTTTAAAAAAAAAGCAGTTGAGCCTTTGGTCTTTAAACTAAACATGATCATGTCTATTTATGCTTTGTTCATCCAAATTCTTTGCCCATTACGCCAGTCGTGTTCTGCACCATTGTCCTGACTGAAACATTTTCCCGGGAAAGAGGGAAGGCTTTGGCATTGTCATTAGAGGGCTTCCAGCTTAGATAAAATGCTTCTGAATGCTAAGTGTTTTGTGTGGGCTCCAGAGATGAAAAAACTTAAATTGGTCATATTGAATCACAGATTTTTCGATGCTTATTAAAAACTACCCTTATGGTATATGAGGGTTTGCCCCTCCCCACTCTCCTTACCACATTGCTCGTGATGAACAAATAGCCATTCAGAATTCATGGCTTTGAATTGTAACTAGGAAATATTTTCTGTGAGGATTTGAAGATACTGGACCTGACATGATGATGTGAATTTTCTGCTTTGTTTCCTTATGTGCAGAAATATATGTGGGTGTTCTCTACTCCTCCATCATTGCAAGAAGCTTAGCCTAATGGAAAGGGAAAAAGTATCAATAAATTAAAAGGGGCCTATACTTATTATATTCCTAAGGTGAAACCAAAGGGAGGCACACAGGAAAACTGGATGAAGAAATAGAGGGAAGGAGAGAAGGTGGTGAGAAACCCAACCTTTCCTAAGGAGGAAGGAGAAATGAGGCAGTTGAAATTAGAAATTTCTATGTTATTCTTCTCCAGCATTAACAAGATAATTCCTTATACAAACAACTTTGTATGCAACGCAGGAAGGTGGATAATATAGCAGAACTATTTGACCTACTGGACTCACTTTCAAAAATTAATCAGCTTGTTATTTTGAGTCAGCCTTATAAATCCTCAAATTTGGACAAAGTGTGTGTGTGTGTGTGTGTGTGTGTGTGTGTGTGTGTGTGTGTGTGTTTTGATGCTGGCTCTGTATCTGATACCTAGAGATACTGTGTGTGAACCAATCTATAGTTAACAGGAAATGTGTTTGTTCTTAGCCTTCAGTTCATAGCACTGAGTTCCATCTACTCTTTTTAAAAATTTTAATCATAGATACCAAGGAGGTCTTTGGGACCACCTGCCCAGGCAGCTGTGTGTGTTATCCAGGCTCAGCAGCTGCAGGGCAGGGGGGTGACTTAGAGTTTACATAAACATTCCACTGGCCCAGCTTCAGGCTGTCCCATCTCCCTAGCATCCAAGGTTTCGAGCTTTAGGGATATAGAGGGAGTCACTTAAAGCTTGTAATCCCAATCAAGACAACCTCTGTGTGGCTGTATTCCTATCTCACTTTGATACTGGCCTACAACTGAATAATCCTCTCCCCACCTTTTTTACCCAGAGGTAGTCTCTTTCATGTACTAGAATAAAAAGCCCCTGAACTAGCTTTTTTATATGCCAGTAATTTCAGAAGGGATGTGCCCTCTTTGCCACAAAATTTGAGGTGTCCAGAATCAGCCTTATCATAAACCAGGGTCTGTATTGTTCTCCTAATCGGTCTCTCACCAGCTTTGCTCACCTCCAAGCCATCCTCTAGAGCTGCTGGAGTGTTATTTGACAAAAGCAAATCTGAGTAATTTTGCTTTGAATTCGTCAGTGGTTCCCCATCCTCTGAACAACCTGGCCCAGCACTCAGAGCCCATCACAACTGTCTCTCTCTGTGTCCTCCATGTACCCATAAGTCATCTTGTTCCAGTTTTTCTGAGGGATTTCCATCCTTTGTCTCTTGCCTTTGTGCTTTCACATGAGCTATCTTGTCTTCTCAGCATGGTTTTACCCACACCTGCCTAGCCACCTTTTAGCCCTTCTCCAAAACTCAGTGGAAGTCATTTCCTCAGGAAGTCTTCTGTAAGTTCTGTTGCTGTTTAGAAACTCTTCCTTTGTGCTCCCAGAGTATTCTGTTATGTTCTCAGCTCTACCATTACATTTGCTATATTGTACTTAAACATCGGCTCTCTTGTGTGTTACCACCACATAGCTGTTTGTGATTTTCCAGGGTGGAATGAGCTCTTAGTTATTTTTGTATCTTCAGACTTTTGCACAATGTCTGGAACTCGATAAGTGCTCAATTAATATTTTTTTGAAGCTCAGTTAATGATGCATGGCCCTCCGAGTACTTTGTCTTCTTGGTTACATCAAAAGCTTCAGATCTAGCTTCACATACCTCTGCAAGGCACAAAGTAGATGTACAGTAATATGTTGTTGGTTGATTCATTATAAATAGGTTGATTCCACACAAAAACAGCAGCATCCTAGTGTCACTCTTCCAGTGCCTCATCTAATTAATTGAGAATATCTTCTTAGGCTGTGTAATAACACTTTAGGGCAGATGTTTTCCCAACAGTGAGTTGTGACCCATTGGTGGGTCGTATAAACAATAAAGTGCACAAGACTAGCATTAAAAACACAAACAAACATGAAATAAAGTAGAGTAAAATAGATAAGAAAAATCTGTGTGTATCACACATGTAAAAAAGTTAAGTATTGTTTTATTTGTTACCTATGTGACGTGTACTGGTTTGCAGCGTAAAAAGAGGTATTTCTTTTTATGCATCTTAGTAAAAAAAAAAAAAAATTCTGGAAAACAATCTTTAAGAAAAGAATGAAATCCTGCACACCCTGTCATTCCATTCTGGATTGAAATGTATCAGTGGAATCAGTAAGATGCCCCCCACTGGACTCAAATCAGCCAGGAGCTTGTGCCCTTTTTGTTCAGGCACTGAGCTAATCCTTAGAGAGCAAGAATTCTGTTCTGAAATGAAAGATGGTCTTCTTGCTGGGAGAGAAATAGCTTTAAAAAAAGCCTCTGTAGAGTTTTGTGTCCATTTTTTTTATTATTAAGCATTTAGACATTAGGTAAAATTTACTCTCTTGAGCCTACTTCCCTCCTTCTTTAAAAATGATGCTCTCTGATAAGGATTAGAGCTAATTGATCTTTAAGATGTCAGTTTCATACTCCATTTTGCAACTGCAATTATAGCCTAATTTAAGGTTATTATAATTCAGTTATCCTGGAATAGGCTACAAAGGTCTTGTAGCTGCAGGGTGAATTGACTGGAATCAGTTTTCGGGAAGAAACAGGATGGCTCATTTTCTTCTTGTGTCTCTGAAAGTGACCCCGTGGCTTTGGAGCTGATCTAGAGCAGGGAGTGAAGGGGCAGGAAGCTGTCGACCAGTTGACTGTTTTGAAATTTGTTTCTGCCACAGGTTGGCAGGCACTACCTTTTTTTTTTTTTTTTTTTTTTTTTTTTTTTTTTTTTTTTTTTTTTTTTCTTTTTTTACTTACTCTTTTGTTGGCAAGTTTCTAAAAGCACAGCAGTGGCTGGGGTAAGTCAGTGTGGCATCCAGGAGGTTGGTGAATTTTTCCCTTGATGGCAATTTTTTTAGAGAATAGGATGATGTGGCAATGAGTGTATGGATGGACTCCAGGCCATAGCTAGGCAGGGCTTGCAATTTGGTGGATGAAATATCCCTGAAAAATAGAAAGGAGCAAGCCTTTTTGTTTACTGTATAGGATGAAACCTCCTCTCAGCAATAGTACTGTTCTAGGTTCTGAGGACTCTTTTCTCCATCTTGCCTTCCCCCTAATTCTCCTTTCAGTTACTCTCATTAAGATAAAAATTCAAAATCTATGCTGTGTTTTTTTCCTCATATGCACTCCATTATTCCTTTCAAGGTTGAGTGTAACTCCTTACACCTGTCATACATTCATTAGCATTTCTCCCCCACCCCCCTTCCTTCCTCCCTCTCTCCACTTAGCAGGCATGAAATAACTACTTGCTTTGTGAGACAGTAGACACATGCAGTGACATCAGCTTTTGTGCTGTATCCCAGGGGGAAATACTCAGGGCTTCAGATGCCTCCGTCTTTGTTCAAGCCCCACAGGGTAGGTTTTCATGAAGCACAGATTGCTTATACTGCTAGGAGCTGCTTATGGCCTTAGCTGTCATCTGCCTGGGATGCAGACTGCACCTTCTCTAAAGGCAAACTGGATTCACCAGTCCAAAGCAAGCAAGCAAGCAAGCAAGCACTTGGCCGGGCAAGCAGAACTGTGTGGAAAGCTTAGGTTTTGTAAACAAGGTCCCAAACTTTTTGGCTTTTCTAGACTTGAGAGAATGTCTGAGAACAAGGTAAATGTGAAGAGGAAGAAGAGTCCTTGGAAATTTTGAAATCCTGCCCATCTCCTAAGTGGTTGCTGTTGATGCCCCCATGAAACTTTTCCAGCAGCACAGTCCCCCTCAGAAAATTGTCCCAATGCTTAGTGCCCAGCACATGGGAGGGGATCAATAGATGACTGATAGATGAACTTGACAACATGGAGCGATGGCTAGTGTGGGCCTTTGGTGGAACAGTTAAGACAGCAGAATTTACCTCAGGGGCTTCAGATTACTGCTGCTTTTGTGTACTCGTTGATTTAGGTAACCAGTGTTCTCATCCTGCTTTATAGAGTTATCCTGAATGTGTTAGGGATACAGCACACAACTTGTACGTGTCTGATGGTTTTTTATTTTTTTTGAGGGGGATATATATTTTAAATTAGGATTGTAGAAAAGGCAAGGTCTTATCATGGAGGAGTAAAATTTCTGATAATATATTTTCAGTCTCAGTAGAAGACCAGTGGGGAAGTATTTTTGGGTTGTGGGTGGAAGGAACTCTCCTAGACACCACTTACATTCTAAGGGTGTAATGAGAACAGCTGCTTAATGAAATAAGACTAGGTCTGGTCCAACTGTTCTGGCCAAGACAGGGCCGGTGTCTCCAGTACTCGCAGTTATTTCTAAGCAGGTGGACGAAGCAGCTCTTCAGGCAAAGACTAGCAGGCAGGGTGTCTTATGACCACACTAACTTCATCATATACTGTGTCTGACCCAGAGGCAACTCTCTTTGGCTATCTAGTGGCTGGGTTGGTAGCCAGCTTGCTCTAAGAGCTCTGCCTACAGGGTGTGCTAGACTGCAAAGTCTTCAACCAACCTGTACGATTATGCGTCTGGTGTACTTTGAACATGAGACATACAGGACCTGTGCGGTAGGGTGGCAGAAGCTGAGACACAGCAGAGAAAACACTTGGCATGAGCCATGAGGTAGTGGAAGCAAAAATATGAGGTTGAGTAGAGAGAGAGTGAGGATTGAGAGTGATGGAAGTTAGGAAATTGAGAAGGTCTGGAGTTTTTGTGGCAGGAATTAGGAAGTAAACAGAGTCAAGGGTTGATGGTTGCAGGAATTAAGAAGTAGAGTCAGAATGGATACTGGCAGGAGCTGGGGATTAGGTGAAGTCAGGGGTTGACAGTGCTGTGGGCTAGGAACTGGATGCTGTCTGGGGTTGACAGTAGTGGGGGTTAGGAAGTAGCACAGAGGTTGACAGTGGCAGGGTAGGAAGCAGAGTCAAGAGTTAGTAGCAAATAAGGGTTAAGAAGTATTTAGGAGTTGATGGGGGCAAGAACCTAGAAATAGAGTTGGGATTAATAATGGTGGGAGTTGGAAAGTAGACAAAATCATGAGTTGATATTGGTAGGAGCTCCAGGATTAAGAATTACTGGGTTGGGTCATTCCTTCCCCTGATCAAAACTGTAAAGCCTCACTCATGTCATCTCAGAACACAGGTGAAGTCCTTATAATGGTCACAAGGCCCTTCACGACCCAGCTGTCTGCCACCTCTCTGTCCTTATGTTCTAGAACTCTCCTCTTTGCTTGCTCTGCCACACTGGCCCCCTTTCTTTTCTTCCATTACACAAGGCAAGTTCCTGCCTCTGGGCCTTTGCTTTGCCCTTCCCTCTACCTAGAATGCCCCTCCTGTCAGTACCTACATAATTTGCTCCCTCACTTATTTCAGGTGTTTGCTTAAATGACACTTTTCAGGTTAGTCTTCCCTGACCATCCTTTTTAAAATGGTAACTCTCTCTCCCTAGAACTCCTCCTTCAGCCAACTGAATTTTTCTCCCTCACAACCAGCACCTACATCTGCATACTACATATTTTATTTACTTATTTGATCCTCGTCTGTCTTCCCCCATTCTGTGAAGGAAGGCAGACATCTTTTTCTTATGCTCTGTTTCTCTCTCTCTGCCTAATCCAGTACCTAGCACACAGTAGGGACTTACAAAATCGTTATGGGGTTAATGAATGGATGAATGACTGAATGAATAAGCAAGCAAATGAACTGGATTACACTGTTCACTCTCCTTCTAGCACTTTCCTAATTTCAAAATCACCCGCTTGTTTGCCTATTTATTGCTGTCTCCCCTCGGTGACTCTAATCTCTTTAAAGGCAGGGACCAGAGCTATTATGCTCACAGTCTCTCTGGCATGCTGCCTGGTAAACGGGATGTGTTCAATCAGTGTTTGTTGAGTGAATGAGTAACAGCATACTAGAGTAGGCAGTAAAGGGCCTGGCACCTCTGTGGAGGAAAGATGAGGTCACCCCAGGTTAGAGCTGCAGAGCCTCTGGAACCCTGTTGTCTTTTTCCTCGAAGTCTGACTACAGCTACAGTCATTTCCTATGGGATATTCAGGATTTCCAAGGCTTTGTCAGGAGACTCTTGATTCAGTTTCCTGTTCCTTTACACTTTCTCGCATGTCCTTACACAAAACTACCAAGAGTTGAGGAAACTTGGTTCTGTTGTTTGCCTCCTCAGGGAGGCTGATGCACAGTAGCTCAGCTCTGTTTGGACAAGTGCCACGGGAAAGTCTGATCTCTGGCCTTGGATGCCCACGAGTGGATGCCAGGTGGGCAGCCTTCCCTGTGCTAGCACATGAGGTGGACCTCCATACTTGGTATTACACACTGAATTGTGTCTCCCCCAAATTCACGTGGAAGTCATAATGCCCCAGTATTTCAGAATGTGACCTTATTTGGAAATGAAATCTTCACGGAGGTAATCGTGTTAAAATGAGGTCATTGGGATGGGCCCTGATCCAGGATGACTGGTGTCCTTATAATAGGAGGGAAATTCAGAGACAGGCAGGTAGATACACACAGAGAATGCCTCGTTAAGGCTGGAGTTACGTTGTCACAACCAGAAGGAAGGACCAGCAGCAAGGAGAGAGGCCTGGAATAGATCCTGTCTTCACAGCCCTCAGAAGGAACGAGCCTGCTGACACCCTGATTTCAGACTCTGAGCCTCTAGAACAGAGACCATCGATTTCTGTCATTTCAGTGACCCCAGTTAGTGTTATTGGTTAACGGCAGCCCTTTCCCATGCAGAGGCTGACTGTCCACAAACTGGGCTGGGGACAGTGTGGCTGGACCCCTGGGTGGGGAGGGGAGGCAGCACCACTATACTCACAAGATGCTAGGCCCCGTGGCCCCCCAGAAGGCTCCATTGTGCATCTTCTCCAGGTGTGTGTTTTCCTTGAGCTCCCTGTGGGGAAGGACAGTGTTCTTAGTGGGGTTGGCACTTCGTGGGTTAACAGTCACCGCTGCGTGTGCACACGTTTGGAGCAGCCTGCCTGTGTGGTGCTCAGCCGTAGAGGGAAAAGGGGGATTGTAGAAGAAGGGGAAAAGACATGCTGGTGCCAGGCTTATTGTAAAACTGCCCGCGTGTGTGTCTGGGCCCACCTTTCCCCTGCAGATTCCCCCTCACTCAGTAGAACGCTTTGTCCTGCAGCTTCAAGTCCTCACCCTTTCCTGTTCTGGAGTCAAGAAGGTTTGCTACCGCACAGCTGGGCGGGGATGGAAGTGCTGCTCCAGTGTTCAAGGCTGAAGGGTGGAGGCGCAGCCTGCTCTGTATCAGGTGCTCAGCTGCCCTGACCTTGGAGGCCTCAGAGCTGGTTAATAGCAATATGCTGAAGTTTGCAAATACTTACTTGAAAAGAAAAAGTAGGGTCCAAAGTTACCCTTTTCAGATATGCATTCTCACTGGGTAGGAAAGGGGAGGAAGGACAGCCTGTGCAGAAAATTGCCCTACACCCAGCATGCCCCACTCGGGGTTCCGTGTTGGGTACATGATAGTCCTCAGGTGTGTGTGTTGAGGACCACTGCTGTTAAGGCTGTGGCATGACCAGACGCTGCTACGCAGTAGCTACCCGAGGCTTCTGTTCCTTGAGCTCCAAGCAGCTCAGGGTGAACTGTTCAGGAATAGCTCAGCTTGGTGCTGCTGAGCAGCCTGCTCTGGGCCCTCATGCTGGTGTCTCCAAGCCCAGGCCCCTCTCTGGGTGGACGAGGGAGCTGGGAGCGGGGTCCCTGGGCTCAGGCTTGCCAGCCTTCTTTTGAGCACTTTCTTTCTACAACAGAAGAGTGGTGACTCAGGGCATTCTGGAAAATGCATCCATTGTCGATGTGATGATTTGAAGCATAGCAGGATTCTCCTGCATCACTGTTACAGTGTTACATGGCAAAACAAATAGACCAACACTCACTCTCCCCTCCCTTGCAGGAGGCATAGGCAATTACCTGGTTCATCTCCTAGCTCTCCATCTTCTTCATTGTCTTCCTGCATGTCTCCACATCACGCCTGCCATTTAAAAACTGCAACCCCCCCTGCATCTCACTCCCTGGGTGGCTGTTTTCCACATGCTTCTACTAAGCGTTCTCCTCAGAAATCCTCAGCCCTTCCATCAGAATGCACCCGTCAGTCTCACACAGTCCTATCCCCTGGGTGTATTTCTACTTTCAAAGAGATGAGGTTGTCAGAGTCAATTGCTGTTTAAGATCTAAATCAAAAGAAAATTTCCTTCCCAAACCTCCATGGCTCTTTTCCCTGATTTGGTTTGTTTTAATTATGTTCTGTTATGGTCATAAATCATCGAAATGGGGCTCTGTGAGCAAATAATCGTCATGTCAGCCAGGTCAAATTAATTGCTCAAATTTCATGACAGAACTTTTCACGTGTTTTATTAAAAGATCTTTCTGTGTACTGATAACTCCGCAGTATGTAACTCGGTTAAAAACAAATCAGATTCGTCTACCACGTTTTCCTAGGGGTCACTTTCAGGTTCTCAAGTGACACAGCCTTCCAGGTATGAGAAGCACACACAGGATAACCTCTTGAAGCCCAGTGGGAGAACCCCCGAGCCCCACCCAAAATTTTCACAAGTGGGGTGCTCTGAGAATGACAAGGGGTGACTCTCAGAACCCTGGAGGTGTCTGAGGGCAACCCTCTGGTGCTGTGTCTCTCCACCCTGTCCTAACTTAGTTAGGTAGAAAATTCAAGAACTTTGTAGGGCTTTGGTGTCATCATTCTGAACAACTTTGGACAGGCCCATTTGTGAGGAAGGTGTAGAAACTGGGTTGAAGGTACACTTTGAAAATTTTGCTTGACAGTTTTGAAACCTACTCCCCCCTTCAATCCTTCAGGGGACCTCCTTGCCCTTAGAAGAGAATTTAGAATCTTTTCCATTGCCCCTGAGTTCTGCATGGTTTGCTCGCTCTCTATCTCTAGGTTTGTCTCATACTGGTTTCCCATTGTTGATGACCCTCCAGCCACACTGGCCTCCTCTTAATTCCTGGAGCTTACAACTACTTTTCTTTGCCACTTCAGGACCTTTGCACATCCTGTTCCCCCTTCCCATGACACGCTTCCCCTCACTATTGCCATAGTGCACTCTTTGTCATCTTCTGGGTTCAGCCTACGTTTCATGGCCCAGGGATAGCCTACATCCATGGCCAGGCTATCCCTGGACACCTAACCTAAAGCCAGACAGCCCCTGTACTCTCATAGATCTCAGTAATGGGTTATTTCCTTCATAGTATATATTCCTATCTGCAGTAAGTTCATTTATTTACTTGCCTTTTTGTCTGTCTCTTCTGCTAGAACAGAAGCTTCATGAGGACAAGGACTCTTTCCACTCTGCCATTGCAGACCCAGCTCCCTAACATGGTGCCTAATATATACTGGCGATGCTTAATGTTTGTTGAATGAATAAATGAATGAAATTGATTTGTTTTCTTGGCAAACTGATTTGTGTTCTTGGTTTCCTCTTTCTTGCAACAGTAAGATGTGGGGGATACAGAATCTTGACTAATTGAACTTTTTGAGGTACACATCCCATTTTGGCATCCCTGATGCAGCTGGGACACTGCTGATGAAGGCCCTCTTGACTGACACCCTGTTTTCTCTGACCTCCCAAGGATGTTTTCTGCTGGTTTTCTTCCCACTCTGTTTGCTTTTGCTCTGCTTCTCTTCCTTCTCTCTTGGTGTCCCCCAATTTTATATTCAGTTCTCTTACTCTGCCCCCTCATCCAGGTGACCTCAGCCACAAAGGCCTTCAGTTACCCCCTCTATTCAGATAGCCGATATCTGTCTCTAGCCTGTACAACCCCCACCCCAACCACTGTCCTTTCTGCCAACAGATGAACCTTCTTTAAGCACCCTCATACTTCATTCCCATCCCAGAACTTTCAACGGCCTCTCATTTTCTATAAAAGAGAGTCCTAATCCTTTACTGTGGCATCTAAGGCCCTTCCTGCTTTGTCCCTAACCCACATCTAGTTCTTTCTAAAAGGTACTGTTTGCTGTTCTGTGAACACATGCTTCCCCCTCTGGGCCATTCTCTGTTGTCCTCTGCTTGGGATGCATTTTCCTTCTGTCTTTACCTGTCCAACTGAGGCCCAGCTCAGAGTCTACATCTCTCAGGAGGCTTTCTCTAATTTCCTTCTTTTCTGCCTTTGAAATCCCAGAAGACTTTACTTCTCTCAGGGGAGGCATCACACTTTGCCTTCTGTTTTAGTTACTACTTAGTATACAGTTTATATACCATCTGGCAATGCTTCTTCCTAGGCCGTAAGCTCCTGTGGGGCAAACACCAGGCCTTACTCATTTTCATTTCCACCCCAAATGTAGCATATTCCTTCAAACATAGCTGATGCTTGGCAAACCCTTGTTGAGTGAATAACTGCATGAGGCATCTGAAAGTACTGTGCCAGGAGAGGATATGCCTCTGATTTAAATTTGGCAGAAACAGATTCAATTGGCTAGAGTGAACTCTTCATTAGATTCAAGTCAACAAGAAAATGAAGGAAATTTTTCTCCATGATAGGAAGCTATCATTTCTTGAGCACTTGGTACGTGCCAGACTCAGGCTAAGACCATAAAAATATAATTATTTTTCCTTCATTCATTCATTTGTAATTAATTAGCTGTGCAATGTAATAAATGATAAATGAGCACCCACTCTGTGCTAGGCACTGTGTTAAGTACTGAGGATACAAAACAGACCTTTTCATTTTGGTGGGGATATCCTCAAAATAAGCCTATTAATAGCTCTATTTCATGGATGAGAACACTGTGGCTGGGATAGGTTAAGTAACTTGCTCGTGATCAAGCTGATAAATACTGGCATTGGAGTTTAAGACCCAGTTAGTGACTCTTAGATATGTTCTCATAACCACCAAGCTCTGTAGCATGGTACCAATATACTAGAGCATTTAATTAATATGTATAGTTAAAATAAATAGTATGTTGTAAAGACTTATGTTACCCAACTTGGCAGCCTCAGCATCTCCTGGAAGCTTGCTCAAATTACAAATTCTCAAGCTCTACCCTAGCGGCAATGAAGCAAAGTCTCTGGAGGTGGGGCCTAGGAATCTGTGTTTTAACAATCTGCACCTTATTCTTGTGTGTGTTAAAGTATGAGAAGCACTGGTATAGACTACGGTTGATACAATGTATCATAAAAGTCTTTTCATTTGTTTTCCTTAATTTTGGCTTCAGTTGAGCTTTTCAGGCTCAAGTTTTCAATAGTTTGCTTAGTTTTTATTATATCCAACTGTAGGGTGATTGTTACCTTACTCCTACCTGTTAGGGTTCAAATGGCCCCAGCCCCAGTAGGCTTTGTAAATGAGCCACTCTTTTAGTAAAGAAGCCATAGAAGGAAAGAGAGGTGGGAAACAATGAAGGATAGTTAGTAGGGATGTTCTCCTTGAGTTAAATGCTGTTAACGCTGGGGACTGGGTGCAATGTGGTGTAGCACAAGGGCCCCTCACCCTGTGGAAAATGCTCCCCATACCCGCCCCACCCCAGCAGTAGGGGGATGGGACTGTGAGGGTGCTTGTTGTGGCTGATTAGGTGGGTAAATGGGATTGCCAGTTTTCTCTGCGGGGGGCTGGGGGAAGAATTTCTTCACTGAAATCGCGCTGACTCTAACATGCCATCAACCTGAGCGAAGGGGCTAGAGAGGGAGGCTGTGAGATGAAACTAAAAGTAGGGTGTTGAATATTTTAGCAAACTGTCAACTTGAATGTCTCTGGGCTGCATCTGTCTTTGAAATCAGGGTGCTCTGGGGTTTCTAGCCAGCCAGTTGCCTAGTAACATGCATGAAACACTGAGGACTAGCCACTTGAAAGTTTATTTTTGTCCTGAGTTAGTTGCTGAAGATTGAATGTGATCTGGTAGCCAGAGTAATATTTCATTTTTATTCATGAGCTGGGGAAATAGCACATACTTACAGGGAAATCAGCGTCGTCCCGTTGAAGGCATGACTTTGTATTTCTTCAAACCCATTTCCATATAGTTTGCTGAAGGGAGAGGAGAGAGGATTGATTTAGCAGTGAAAGCAGCACATTTTGGAATCACACATTCTTCCTTCTGTGACATTTACTACTAAGATAATTACTGGCGTATGCAACATTCACCTCTGTCTAACGTTTTAGATTCTGAGGACCTGGTGAGAGGGAGCTGGGTTTTTCTCTTTTTTTCTTCTTGCTCTAGTTTGGCTTCACCTCCACCACTCTAGTTTGGCAGCAGCAACACCAATTTATTACGTGTTTATTAAGTGCCAGGTACTTGACCAGCTATTCGACATCGATTTTATGACTTAATCCTCATTGCCATTTCCATTTTACTGATGAGAAAGCGATGTCTCACTGTCGTCGTGCTGTCTGCTCAAGCTTAAAGAAAGCAGCGGCGGAAGCAGAAATAGTGGCCAGAACCGTCCAATGCTCAAGTCTTGCCTCTGCCTCCTCAGGCCTGTGTGGGCATGTGTGCTTTCTGGGAGGCTGAAAGCGGACGGCAGAGGAAGGCTCTGGCATGGAGTTAGCTTTTCCTTTTCTTGGATGAGTATGTGTTTTGGTTGCTGCCATATTTGGCTCCATAACCAAGAAGATTTCCGTGCCTGTAAACAGTTCTTTAAGACGAATTAGTGGATAGCGAAATCAATTTAGTCGGGTGCAATCGGCATTTCGCAAAATGAGATAGAACAGAATGGGACAAAATGAAAGATACTGGAGTGTGTTGCATGTAATTAGGGTAGTACTACTTATGGAATTTTGTTCCACCATTTTTGTATGTTACATACTTAAAAGTATACGTACACATATACATAGAAACATCTACATCTGTTCAGAGTAAGACACAAGAAGCTCCTCAGAAGACAGATGTCAGGAAATGTTGGAGCCTGCAACAAACTTGGAGAGGATCAAGTGGCACGCTTTTATTTTATAAAGAAGGGAAGAGTCTCGGAAAGGAAAATGGCTTGTCTAAAGCCCACAAGAGGCAGAAATGGGACCAGAGCACACGGTGTCTGGGGCTACATCCAGCATGTCAGTTTCACTGCTTGCTACTACTTTTCTACCCTGAGATATCCAAACGGCCCCTCTTCCTCTTCCTGGGGGGCTATGCTTAAATACCATGTTCGTGTGTGGCCCTTCCTGGCTGCCCATTTAAACTACCATCCTCCCTTCTCCCAGCATTCCTGCATTCCCATCCCCCTTTGTTGAGTTGTTTTTCCTCTGTGGCTTTATCAGCATCTGACCCTGGATTATAACATACTTGTTTATCATCTACCTTCCCCAGCAGTTAGCTTCATGAGCACAAGGATTTGAAACTGTTCTGTTCCTTGCAGAATCCCCTGTATCTAGAGTAGTGCCTGGCACTTGGGAGGATTACAATAAGTATATGTTAAATGAACTGGATGAACAAATGGGTGTATGTAAGGTGATTTTCTAATCATAGCCAACCGGGCAAGTTTGAAAGGCACAGTCTTAGAAATATTTATGTAAGTCCTTCATGCACAATGATGTAATACTCAAGTGAGAAAGAGCTATATAGTATAACATCAAAGTAAACTCCAGCATCTGGCAAGACCCTAGTTTCCCTTTAAGGGGTTGCTGGTAGTTGCATGGCCATGTCATGGGTGGGCTGGTGGGTGACTTGAGAAACCCTGTTCCACATGGCTGTTGACTGCAAGGTTTCTCTAGCCTTTGTTAAAGAAAACAAACATGGAATTCTGTCTTGTGGTGTGTGTGTATGTGGTGTATATTTGGGGGTGGGGGTCTCTTTCCATCAATCCACAGCACATCTGAGACAAACCAGCATATAAATAAGCAGGACTCAGGGTTGAAGCATGATGTTTGAACACTGGAATTCAGAAAATACAGAGATTACAGAATAATTCATAAGGTCTCCTTATTAATTTTAGTTCAGATCGAACAGGGGAAGTGTATTTAATTCATTTTGTAAAACCCCCGGGTGTCTCATAATGCTTGCTCCCTAGCAGAAGCTTAGTCAAAAGGCTGGGTGGAGCAGTGGCCTCACCCTTCCATGTGAGGAAGAGCCTTCTCTGGCTTCTCCTGCTCTCATGTGCTTTCTTCTAGAATTCTGAATTTACAACTTCACATATGAGCTCTCAGCCAGGATTACTGGCTGCCATTTTTTTTCAGTAGTTTTCTTTCCTCATGTATATGATAGAATTGGAGGGGCTAGGTACTTTCTTGGTTTATGCCTGTTGCCTTGTGCAGTTACAGACAATCTTCTTGCCTCCTTAGCAGCTCAATCCCACTGGAATTCTTTTTTTTTTTTATTTTACATTTAGAATATTATTCTTTGGCAGTCCTTTATCATTTGGGAGTTTGAATTCCTTTATAGCAATCTCTTGTAGATAAAGGAATCATATTGTTCTTTTCTCAGAACTTCTTTGAAATTGGATTTCTTGGAGTCCAAGCCAATGTTTGCCAAAGCATTTCCCTTCATCTCCTGACTCAGAATCAACCGGAGCTGCTTGCCAGAAATGCAGACTCAGACCTACTGACCAGGTGCACTGCAGATCTGTGGAATCAGAATCTGGTGGTGGTATCCAGGAATTTGCACTTTTATAACAAGCTCTCCCAGTGAGCCTTGGGCATCCCACTTTGGGGCCTTTGCCCTAGGTTACAGCATTGGATGATATAGCTCTCACCATTTCCATATACAGATCAGATGGTCTGCTGGACAGAACTGAGTCCAGAGTCTGGTCCCCTTACCACTGTCTCTACCTTCTAAGTGATGGAGTTACATGTATAGTGAATTTAAAAAAAAGTAGCCCCTACTCTGTTTTGAGAAAAGCAAAGCTGCCAGCAGTTGTCTGGATACCCATTCTCTGTCATTTTTATGTGCTGTTCTTATCCTAGTTTTGATATATATTAGAATTTTGTACTTTTTTTTTTTTTTTTTTTTTTTTTTTTTTTTTTTTTTTTTTTTTTGTGGGGCTTACAATGCCATTGTTCTAAGTGAAGCTTCATGGTTAAGGTTGCAAGTATTCAACCCAACTGCCTGGGCTTGAATCCCAGCTCCACTACTTATTAGCTGAGTTACTTTATTCAGTCATCCCACCTCTCTGTGTCTTAATTTCCAAATCTGAAAATAGGGATGATAATAATAGTATTGACCCCAAAAGACTGTTGTGTGGATTAAAATGCGTAACATATGTTAAACACTTTGAAAGAAGTCCTGGAACACAGTAAATGCTTAATGTGTTGCCATTATTATTATTATTAATTATTATTATTATATCTTGTAGTAGCCTCCGTCTCTCTGACCAGAATAGAGGGCAGGGGTTTCCCTTGTCCTGCTCTGGACAGGATTTCTGTGAAATGCAGCAGTCTGTTTAATTGAACTGTTCAATGGGGTAGAGGTGTTCCTGCTCCTGGTGGAGGAGGTCATTTTAGTGGCCGGGGCTGCCCCACATGTACTCACTCTCCAAAGGTCCGCCGACACCTTTGGTCTGTGTTGGCATCATTGACATTTTTGTATTGGGACATTTTTTCATGTCTTTTTTAATAGCTTGGGTCCTACTTGTCCCGACTTCCCAGAGAATGGAGCTCACCGTTTCCTTTTTAGTTGTTGCTCTTCAGCTTTGTTCTTAGCAGTCGCGCACAATAGAATGTGTTGCCTTGTTTTGATTAAAAGAGTGGCTTCCTTACTTTGGAGAAGTTACAAATGTGAGTGGGAGGCCTCATGCTGTCAGGCCTGCACAATGCTTTAAAATGCCCCTTAAAACAGCTGGAGAGTCACTTCAGATAACTTTTTTCCCAAGACTTCATGGTGTCAGAATTAAATGAGGACAGCTTCCCTTGCCTTGGGGATGCAGTCACAGGCTCGGAAATGGTTTCTCCCCCTCTCCTGTATTACAATAGCTGCACCTTACTTTAAAGCATTGTCTGTGTTCTCTATTCAAATGTCAGTAATTGTGACTCAAAAAGAGAGAATGTCACCTTTTTATTCAAAATAAGATTCAGGCTTTAGAACTTAATCACAGATGATACTCTAATTGTGAATGCTGCCTTAAAACAAACTCCTAATATTCCTGGGGCTCTAAAAGCATTTTCTGGCGTTTTAACAGTATTAGACGGTCTTCCATTGTTCCCTTTTAGATCATATAACCACCTAGTTTTTGGATGATTTTAAATCATTTATGTTTTAATTTATGTTTGCAGATCTGCAGGGTCTCAAAACGTGGCCTCAGGGTTTCTATTTTAGAAAATATGCCCTATGGTGGTATATCTATAAGCAAATTTTTATCAAATGACTATACAAATACCTACCTAAAGAACAGGGATCCTAAATTCACCTCTTTCTGCTCCCTGTGGTATTTTTCTGCAGTCCTTTTATGTATGAATAATTCTTGTGTATGAAGTATATGGAGACACTTCTTTAGTGGATGTCCTGGCAGTGGTTGTATGGATAACTGTCACCAGTCACTGTCATCAGGCCAATCTCTATATGCTGCCATGACCCTGGTTTTGAATGTTCATCAGAATTCCCCCACTTCTGTGGGTCTCACATTCCCAATGGCAAGGGAACCCTCTCTCTGAAGCGGGCATACCTCCTGTATTTTGGCAGCATGGAGTTGTTATGTTCCCCCTCAAGTTGCCCTCAGCCAAGTTCATGTGGATTATTATTATAATGGATTATAATATATTGAATAAAATTTTTGAAAAATCTACTTCTACAGTGATATTTAAAAAGAGCGAGATTGAGAGAGAGAGGATTCTTCTTTTATGGAAGAGCATTGGTAATAAATGTGGAAGAATGATGAGATTTAAAACTTCCATTTTGTAATACCCTACATAACTGAATAATCAGCAGATGCTGAAACCATCAGATGAAGGGTTATTGGCCAACAGGCTAGCGGCATCAACTCAAAGTCTCCCACCATGCTTTATTATTAATGACAAAGGGAAACATGTGCTCTTACAATGAAGATGTCTGGCAGTCACCACTTTAACCAAATGGCCAAGGAGCATGGCATGACATGCTTTCTGGTTTGATGCACTGGGAGAGATACAGCATGCCCTTTGCAATGTTCTTGCAGAAAAGTTGACCTGAATCTAATCCTGACAATACAGTCAAATGAATCCAGATAACTAGCCTGGGCTCCTTCAAGGAATTGGTGTCATACAGAACAGAGGAAGGCAGGGGAGCGGATCTTGGGGTGGAGGTGAGGTGGGGAGGACTAAAGAGACATAATAGTGAAAATGCAATGCATAAACTTTGATTGGAGTCTGAGTTTAAAAACAATCTATAAAGGACTTTTTCATTGGAATGTGGAGTATGGGTTGGAGGATGCCATTAAATTCAAGTTCATTTTTTTAGGTATAATGGTGTAGTTATGTAGAATGTCCCTGTTTTGGGGAGATACATGCTGAAATGTTTAAGGTATGAAGCATCATAATATCTATAAACTTCTTTTGGATGGTTTGGCCAAAAGGAAATGTGTTGTGTATACTTAAGATACATAGAGATGGGGTGGGCGTGGCAAGCTGTTAATTGGTGGTAAATCTAGGTAAGATGTAAAGGGGTATCACTGGAAAGACAAATGGAAAGTGACTCCGTTTTTCCATTAAAAATTTTCAAATAAATAATATTAAAAAAAAAGATGAAACAGGATGGTCTAAAACAAGTGGCTTGCTGAATATTAGCTTTTAATCATGGCGATGCTGTGTAGTTGACACGACACGATTGGATTTGCACCAAAGGTATTAATAATCCCACTGGATACACAGAGACAGAGGCATGTCTGGGTGGTATAATTGACTAAGGTTCATAGACACAGAGCCGGGACTAGAATCCAGGCTTTCTGTCTTAACGCCCAGCAGCCTCTTGAGTGTGACTTATGACAGGTGCAACCTGGAATCTTGTCATCCTTTGCCATGCATTCTTTCTCTGAAGGGCCTTAGGGAATTAGTTGCCATGACCTTTCCTTCTCTTTGTAGAGTTCAGACATGAATCAAAGTTGTCTCTTTTTTGAGACTGGTATGACCAGTCACCTAGAATATTTTAAAGGTGGTGCAATGCAGCCAAATCCTGCTCACTCGGGGGGTGGGGGGGTACATTTCAAGGTGGCCTCTTGAGGAGATTTAATGAAAAGCCAAAGTGGCTATAAAGTGACGTAAGAGTATAATGCATAGTTTTAGCATTAGCCCCACTGAGCTTCTCTAGCATCAAGTGAAGTGTTCTGTTTTCATTAAATGAGCTCACAGTTGGTAAAGATTTAGGTGGGGGGAGGGCAGGAAAGGTTCCACAAAAAGCAAAATTTCAAATACTACTAATAATGAAGAGATAAGGCCTGCTTTCATTATTTTCTAATTAGGGAGTTGAACTTTATAGCTGAGAAAATAAGGCTTTCCTCTTTAAGTGTAATACCCTTTTTCCAGCAGGGTGCTCCACGGGATCCTTCACTTACAGAAGGGCCCATTCAGCTGAGAACAAGTGCCAAGCAAATGACTAATTGCTCCCCTTCCAGATGAAGGGCTGAGAGTGAGGAAGGAATGGAAGCACAATGCCCCCTCCCCCTGGGGCCACCTAGGAGAGGTGGATCTGCAATCCTCATTAACTTCAGAGGTGGGGCAATTATGCCCTGCTGGTAGGCACTATTCTTCTTAAAATCATAACTAACATAAGTTAATGGCCCCATAATAAAAATACTGTGCAGCTCTCATGTGCACATGCTGAAATGTGATGTGTGAAAGGAATCTTTGGTTGTTCCTTGAGTTTGGTAGGGTGGTACCATCCTAGGAGCTCACAGAATCCTGTGGATCATCCTAACACTTGTTTCTGTGTTGATCATTCTCCACATCTTCTGTCCTTTCATTCCATTTCCACTTCATTCCAATGGCTGCATGTTTACTTGGAAGGAGTGCCAATTGGTTCCTGATTATTTTTAGATTTAGGTCAAACTCAAAGGGAGTCTTGAACATTTGTGATGTTTGAATAAAGGCTACTCTGTTGGGTGGTTTCTTCTTCTTACTGCTTTTATCAGAGTTACTTCTTAGCTTTTAATCCTGTATCCCAGCTTTCAAGACTCAGTAATCCAATTTCCCTTCCACCCCTGCCATTTATCTAAACCTACTTCCTGTTTCTTTAGCTGGACGTTTATTCCCAATAAGTAAGACTCATCTTGTTTTCCTTTTTTCCACAGCCGTGCTTTTGCTCCTGCTATCCCCTCACTGGGACCACTCGCTCCCCTTTTCTTGGTATGTGGGACCACATAATGGTTAAGATTGTGATTCTGAAGACAGACTGGGTCTAAGTCTTGACCTTGGGCAAATCACTTAACCTCATAGTGCCTTGGTTTCCACACCTAAAAGCCCTACCTCATAGGGTTGTTGTGAGATGTAAATGAGTTTTTTTTTTAATTTTTTTTAATGTTTATTTATTTTTGAGACAGAGAGAGACAGAGCATGAACAGGGGAGGGGCAGAGAGAGAGGGAGACACAGAATCTGAAACAGGCTCCAGGCTCTGAGCTGTCAGCACAGAGCCTGACACGGGGCTCGAACTCACCGACCGTGAGATCATGACCTGAGCCGAAGTCGGACACCTAACCGACCGAGCCACCCAGGCGCCCCAAATGAGTTTTTAAAAAGTAGTTAAAAACAGTGCAGGCATTTACTAAGTGCTGTATAAATATTAGCTGCTATTGTCACATTTACCCATATAATTGTTACTGATACTATGAGGTCTAACTCAAGTCTCATCTCCACCATGCAGCTGTCTCTGATTTCTCCAGCCCAAGAGGACTTCTCCAAGACTTCTCATTTCTGTGTAATACAAACTCTCACAGTGAATATCTACTAGTTTGTATTATTTTTTCCTTATTTCATGTTTGCCCCATATTTTCTCCTTTTCCTCATAGTTGAGATTCTGAGCTTCTTGGGGACATGGATCTTACATCTTTTGTGTTCTAAATAAAGACATAGGAAGACCCTAAATCCTGAGACATGTAGTAACTCCCCACTCAGTTTTTGGTTGGTCTCTCACAGGGGACATGATAAATGAATACTTCTTGATACATTCAGCAGTGAGTTGGAAATACTTTATAAAGAGCTGTAAGAGCTGTAGTATGTGAGGAAAGTGGAGGAGCAGAAAGACTATAGAGAAGATTTTCTAGGATTTCTTATCTCCTGTCTCTTCCCTGGCATTCAAGGGCTGCACATAAAGAATTTATCTTGAAAAAAAAATTTTTTTTTGGTTTTTGCTCTGTATTCTTTGATTGCAGTACTCTGAATACTCTGAGTGGGAGCTGCATTGGCTACAGCTTTGTAATATGACAATTATATGTGTGGAATTATATCTACACAAAGTAAAAAGTTCTATACAAATGCAATGTACATTGATACCAATATTTAGAATCCATGATATAAAAGAGACTCCTTTGAGATGTTTTTTCTCTTGCTTCACAACTACCTCCTCATTTTGGGGTCATCCAATGCATGCTCTTTCTTTAAGGGCAAGCTCATTTATTGACTCAGTATAGCCCTGCTTTGGGCTGTAACCAAAACAGAAAAAGTGAGAGGGATATGGATGTGGGGAGAAGAATTGAATATGGGTCACTGGGCTTTGGATATAAGGGAGATGTGGTGCCCAGATTTCTTCTTCTGAATGGGGGGGCAAAGGTGAGTGCCCTAGGAGAAGATGGCAGGGATCCCAGAGGGAAGGAAGTCAGGCAGATGAACAGTGGAAGATAATAAGTTGGGTTATCTTAGTGCAGTGCCGTTTAAACTTTATGTGCATGCATATCACTTGGGAACTTGCAGATTCCAAGTCTGTAGTTCTGAGTCATGAGAGTCTGCATGTCTAATTGGCTCTTAGAAGATGCAGTGGCTGCTGGTCCATGAATCATACTTTGAATAACAATGCCTTAGGAAAGAGCATCAAAAGAATAGGGCCTGTGAGCCTGGTAACCTGATGCGTGATTGTCAAATAAAAAGACATTATTTTCAAGTATGAAGGGATGTAGGGAATGGGTATAGATGGTGCTCCTCAGAAGCAAAGTAAAACATTGGAGAGAGAGAAAGAGAGAGAGAGTGAGTGAGTGAATGCAGGCTCTCTCGATCAACTATTCTACCTACTTGGAGAATGTCTTTCCAAACTCTTCTCATTTGAAACTTGAAATTTCTGTGCTCTTTGCATGAGGGCAGCCATTTCCCTCCAGGCTGTCTCTTCCCAGCTTTAGAGCATTCCAATGATGCAATAAACAATTTCATCAGTTGGAAATTTGGTCACTGTAAGTCCTCAGGGTCCATCTCATTAACTTTAAACTGAATGGGTCAGTTGGTTGTTGTGTGAACACATGACCCAGCTGTAATCCCATGCAACTACTCTCACCCTTAGCATTTTAGGTCATAAAGACTTACCAGTGAATGAGGAATGTGGTAAAAGATGAGAAAGAGCTTACCTCAAGCTAGAAGTGAGAATAGCAGGAGCCTGTATGGCAGAACGTGAATCTGGGAGTTTACTCACAGTGTTATGGATTCGTTATTCATCCCTTGAAAAGCATTTCCTGGTATGGTGGTTATGTGTAAGTTATCACAAATTTCCCTTGAGGAATAAAATGAGAAATATTTACTTTCCAAATTTTAGCTTCAAATAGGAAACTGCTATGCATAGCAATCAGCCTGGTACTTACAGAATGAAATTAAATTCGGAGGAGAAGATCTTCGTAACATCTGGAAGCTCTTGGATGCCTGTGTTACAGATGCTCCTGTGATTGGGGGCAGGGTGGGGATGTGGGCAGAGAATGAATAAAAGTGATTGTTATTAAGGCATAAAGGTAAAAGCAGTAGAAAGGCACTTTGCAAAGACTATTTTTAAATTAAAAAAATATTGAGTTTGACTTTATTGGTAGCACTTTTAGCTGTTGAAGGTTGTCAGAATTTTAAAGCCCCTAACACTATGGGAGAAGTTGCTGTAAGGCTCCTATTTAAAGATCTAGGGGCTGGGACTATACTTTTACATTTATGTTTTTCATTTACATTTTCTTTTCCATTTACATTTATGTTTCCAGCCTGTCTTTTCCTATTGTATCAGTTGCATTTTTCTATTGTATTCCATTCCATTCCTTTTCGGTAATTTGCTCTTGATAGTTCTGGAAAGCATCCCTCTACTTTTGAATAGGTTTCAACTCAAAGATTTTAGGAATATTAATCTCCATGTGAGCGATCCATATCCCTCATTATTAAAAATCTTTGTTTTTTATTTAGCTACCTACTGGTTCATGGAGTTTTTTCTTATAACTTATTGAAATCATTGAACATTCTTTTGGTTATTGGAGCTACTCAAGACTCTTCTTCCTCCTACCTTTTGTTTAAACTTCAAAGAAGAGAGAGGGTTCAGTGATAGGTTAAATTGAAGGATATTTTACTACACAAGAGTGGGACTTCTTTAGAGGAATCCAGGAATCTGGATTGCCCCTGAGTTTTTTTTTTGGGCTGCGGGGCTCAAACTTGGATGCTTAATTGACTGAGCCACCCAGGCACCCCTCCCCTAAACAAGTTTTAAATTCACCCATCATAGACTGAAGAAACTGATATGAACTGCCTGGCACTCTGGTAGCAATGGAAGAAAGGGAGCCAGGTTTCTCTTTGGTTCTTTCTGATTCTCCTTCTTATCTGTAATTCCAGACTGCACTGAATCCTTGCCCTGTTTACGGCTAGTGATGGCAGTGCAGCTTAGACAGCAATGTGTACTGGGGTTGGGGGAATATCACTCTTTAGGGGGGTAAAAAAGGGACTATAGTGGGCAAATTTGGTTCTGGGATTTTCTTATGTTTTTCCCAACGTGGTTGATACTGCAGATGCTTATGTCTCCTGCAGACCATCAGAGGCCTGGAAAAGCAGAACACCTGGGCTGGGAATCATCCAGTGTTTGAACTGCCAAAGGAGCCATGCTAGTGCCTGCAGCAGCCCCTGGAGGAGGCCCCAGGGCGAGACTGTACAGATGGCATGGAACACAGACCCAGAGAGATGTCCTTCCTCCCTCTCCAATTTTTTTTTTTTTTTTTGAGGTGGTGGGGGTTGTGAACTTCCATCTTCTGAAGATTTTATGAAATTTAACTTATCAGGAAAAAGAGTGAGAGAACATCTATGTTAGGGGGCTTTAAATTTTTCTGTGTGAACAAGTGATTGGTTGGCATGTGAGAAGATCCATAGTGATCAATTTATAGATTGTATCAAGTTTCAGGAATTTTGATTTTGCTGGCAAGGCAGTGAGTCTGCTGGGTTATAGTGGTACTCAATTTATAATTGTAACTAGTAGACTTAATAAGATTTAAAGGGAAATAGAAATAGAACATAATGATTTCATTTACATGGCACAACGCCTACTTCAAGGCAATACTTAAAAAGTTTTTACTTATTGAATAAATGAACAAATGAGGTGAAGGAATCAATAATTCTTCACTAGGGATGGGTGTCAAATTAGAATTGCCTTTTCCACTTTCATCTGAGCTCTGTCTCCATCATCACCTCACCTTAGAGTTTCTGATTTATCCTTTTCTCTAAAGTGTCATGACCCCCCAACCCCACTGTTAGTTTTGAAAACCATTGCAAAGGGGGTGATATTCTTCTCATGTGTTTTTTGGAGAGTGAAAAGGTCAGGAGCCGGTTAAATGGATTTGGAAGCACCCAGCCTGGTGGCTGACAAGAAATGCTGATTAAATCTTAATCAGAAGGCTGAAAGCAGACATGCAAATACTGCTAAGTATATAGTTAAAAAAATTCTTTCCAATCTTTTAATTGTTTTGATTTTCATCAGATGCCCAACTTCCCTCCCAGTTTCTCAAAAAGGAGAAATCCTCACAGGTATTTTAACCGGGGCAGATTTCTAAATGCTCCAGGCTCGATGTACACCAGGTTTTTGGTGTTCTGGATCAGTCTGTAAAGAGAGAGGCAGCAGTTTAACAGATGTGTATTGTTTGGAATGCACAAGACCATGGTCACCAGAGGATGCTGGCTGAAAACGGCACCAACAAAAATCAAGTGACTTTCATAGGTTTGAGAGGAGCTCCTAAGAGCCTGTGGATGGAAACTGCATGGTGGGACCCAAATGGTTCTTGCCAGGAAGCTCTGCTCTCATCCTCTTGCTGGGGCAGGTGTAAATACCATAGCTGGCAGTCTGTTCTACCCCACTCTATGAAGCAGCACCAACTTCCAGGACTCCTGGCCAAGTAGGTCCTGCCCTACAGTGGAGCCCACGCACTAGGGGGTGATGGGAGATTCCACTCCCAGGCTCTCCCTTACAGGCAGACTGGTCCTCTTCGTGTTGGGCTGTCAGGTGCACTGCCAGTTATCCAGATGGGCATTCAGTCTTTGGATCAATCCAGGGGCTTGGATTTGGGGATTTTATACCCCTTCTATAAATAATTTGTTGTGTGGTGATACCCAGCCTCCTAACTTTCCTGAGCTAGTGTGCCCTTCCATAAAACTAGAATAATAATATGCGTTCTTCCTACCTCAGAAGTTGCTACGTAGTGAGTAATAGAATAGGTAGAGATAATGTATGAGGCTAGGCCTTGTACAGTATGTAAGTACAGCCATAACTCCACGGTGGTGTGGTTGCCCTTCTCCCTACTTCTCCAGTGACTTTGACCCTTTGAGAAGTAGCCACAGTTGCCTGTCTACTTTGGATTAAATAAAAGGCTAGTCAATGCCTTTGATTCTCTTTCCCCATGCAATGACCACTCAAAGAAATGATAATTGCTCTAGTTCTATAGAGAAAATATAGTGTATTGGTTAGGTAGATGGGCTCTGGAGTCAGCCTGGTTTTATCTTGGTTTTACTGATTATATGACCTTGGTTACATCATTTAAAGCTCGGTTTCCTCATAGGGTAGTTTTTGAGGAGTAAATGTGTGTGTGTCTGGTTCACAATTACTGGTTAACAGTAATTGTTAACCAGTGTTAACAGTTATTATTATAGTTGGTGAAATCAGGGTGTTGAATGATTTGTATCTAGTCACACAGTTGAGAAGTAGTACAACTTGGAAGTGAACTCAGTTTTACTGACTCTGAGACTAGTGTTCATTACCCCTTACTATAGTTACCCACCATTGGTGCCTGTTTCCAACTTTTATGTCTATTCAATTTCTTTAGAGGTGAGTAATGTTTTGTTGTAATTATTTTTACAACAACTTAGTCAAGCAGTCATGGGCCATGTGGGTAGGATGGAAGGAACTTTTATCTCTTAAAGATTTTTGGTGGTCTGACCTTAAACCACTCATTCAACAAACATTTACTAAGCACCTACATGTGTCAGGCATTGTTTTAGGTACTGGGGATACAGCTGTGAACAAAAAGAGCCTGTATGGAGCTAACATCTTAGTCTCAGGGCCTTCCCTGGGAAAAGTCCATAAATTTTCCGTTAGAGCATTTTATTTTTCTTTCTGTTGCATCACAAGCAATTTATTTATCTTAACTGTTCTGGTGGTTCACAGTATAAGCTGTGCTTCTGTATCACTTGGGAAGTCTGTTAAAACTACAGATTTTGAGGTCTGGGATAGGACTGTCATCTATAATGGTAATGACCTCCTCTCTCCTCCCCCAACCCCCAATTCTACTTCATAGCCAAGCCCAGACTATAAATCTACATTTGAATACCCACTATTTTAGATTTCCCCATAATTGGTTGGTGAGTTAGGCTCACCTCCCTGACTATAATGTCATCTCCTGGGGAAGATTTGTATTTTACCTCCTCTGTATTCCAGCAGCATGTGACCCTTGGTTGGACATGTGGCGGGTACTCACATACTTATCAATCAATTATTCTCTTCAGATAATTGCTAATTGGACCATTCATAGGGAGGCCTTGTAGTGTAGTGGAAAATACATAAGCTTTGGAGAAAGAGAGGCTGGGGTGGAATCTCATCTCTGCCATTGTCTACAGTGCCACACTGGTCAAATTACTGACCCTCTGAACCTCCATTCCTCCCCCTGAACAAAAGGGATAATTACCCTACTTTGCAGGGTAGCTGTGAGGATTCATACAACCTTGAGGAAATAAATGCCAGGCACAAGTGTGCAGAAAATGTTTGTTGCTAACATCCTTCCCCTTCCCTTAACTTTCAAAACTCCTGTGCAGGTGAAGTTTGTACAAGCTCAGGTTTGAGCCAAACAAGGCAGCAGTAAGAAGCCTGGCTTAGGAGTTACACGAACCAATTTCTAGCCCTAGCTCTAGCACTAACTTGCTGTGTGACATCAGACAAGTCAGTTAAACTCTTTGGGTTGTAGGTTCATCACCTGAAAACTGAATTGAGCCAGTCTTCACCCATCTTTTTTTGTAAATTGGAGGAAAATGATAATTTGGAAAGAACTTTTTTTAAGAATCAATTCTAACACATCACAGTAAGAATAACAAACACATACACATGTCCCACACAGGGCTTTTACATGGTTGGTTTCCAAGAATCATTTACTGATTAAATGAAGATGTCCAAACAGTCCCCAATGTACTAATTCATGATCTCTAAGCTCCCTTTCAGATTTTCCCACTACCCCAAGTACTTCGTACCCTCCCTTCCATAAGGTAAGAGCTACTTGGCAGGACTCCACAATGTCAATTTTAATTTCCAACTTTGTGTTCTGATGTTTCAGAGTTTATACAGCTCCCAGGGAGAAGCAGTTGTCACCATGGCAACCTTCAGGCCACTGCAGTGAGAGAAATTAGTGCCTGCCCAGACCTAGTAATTGCTGCAGTCTTTTCCTCTTGGATTCCTAGCAGTGGATGCTTGAATACAAATACCGAGTAGGCTCCAGCCAGCGAGGGTAATAGTGTACAGCAATAAACTATGTGTTAGCTGATGCTTACATTTCAGACAAATTGAGGAGGTTGTCAAAGGCATTAGCTTCTATCTTTTCCAGAGAATCACTCTGAGAGATTTCACTAGGGGAGAGAAAAAAAGGGAAGAAACATGAAAGAAATGACCATGTCTGCATAATAATAAGCTATGGGTGTGACCCAACAACTGGGGGCTCCAGTGGGATGCCTTAAGTTGTCCTCCTATCATCAAGTGCTGCCATCTCCCTTTAGAAGCACTGATGGGCATCTGTAACCCAGGTGCTGTTGAAATGCGGGTTTCAGTAACCCCTGTTTATGTGACAGGTTTTTTTTTCTTGTTTATCTTATGACTCAAAAGTCACAGTTTGTTAGAAGTGGACAGGTCTTTTGAGGAAATCTAGTCAGATTCCCTTGTGTTACAGCTTTGAAAATTGAGACTCAGAGGAGAGGCAAATAGTGCTTATGGGAAGGCTCAGGACCGGGATCTGGATGTCTGGATTCCCAATTCCATCATCCTAGTGAGGTTTTAATTTGGGTTACATTCATTGTTTCATAACTCTTTACGCTTTTCCCAAAATCCTGCTCTGAGGTAATTGCAAGGTGGTCAACTTCCGCACGTAGTGTCCTTTTTAGGTTGTGTCTATTTCTTTGGCTGTTCTTCTCATTCTTTTAGCAAATTGAGGACAAGGAGTATGTCTTGTTCACTTCTGAATCTGTGGCAACTTGACATTGCCTGGTACGTAGAGTATCAATGAATGAATGGATTAATGGGTGGCTTTTTTTTTTTTTTAAAGACATGAACATAAAGGGCCCAGCTTTGCCATATACCATCTCAAGCATGCAGGTAATATCAATGTTACCCTAAAATTCCACCATAAGCTACCATTTGCTACCAGCTGAGAAAAAAGTCTCAAATTCACAAATTGTACATTTGAGTGTTTCTAAGGTTAACATTCACTGAAGCCTTCAGACTTGAGAGCTTTAGCCCATAGAAAGGCTGAGCCTAAGGCAGTTAATGTCTTTTATGAGCAACACAGTAATGGATTGTTGCTGGACGGATTCATTTCATTCCTACCTAATGGTTTGTTTATTTAGCTGTGGCTACTTTTCTCATGAGGAGGTCTTAATGCATTAAGTTATCAAAGCTCAACATTTAAACTTGGGAGCAGAAGAATAAGGGTTAGGCTCAAGGAGACTGACATCTATGTGTTGAGGAATTATTTTTAATATCCCCATTGCGTATTGGTACCCTAAAGAGCAGTCCAAGTTTCCCCAAAGAGCTAGGATTGATGATGCCGTATCTTCATCTGCTTTACAGATGTAAATCTGCTTCAAAAGCCCAGTGAATTGTTAAGATCAGAGATGCTCTTTAGGAACTAAATGGCCTTTGAGGTCCTTTCACTCAGACTAACGTTAAGGAGGATGCTGGAATACTGGATTCCTGAGAAAGTTCCCTCTCATGCATGGTGTCTTATGCCCTGGCAGCTGAGAGCCAGGGAGAATGGGTTGAATTGACATCTGACAGAAATATGCGATCACACTGTATTATCAGGTTGCTTTATACTTTTGATAAAGGCCTTTTATCAATACAGCTCTAAATACTGTGTGTCTGTCATACACATCTTCTATTTTAGGTATAAAGATTGTCTTCTGATGCACAATAAACCTCCAACACATTTTCTTCTGTGTGGGTGTTATCTAAAAATGTGACACAAGGGAATAACTGCTGTAGCAGAAGGAGGATTTTTATGATTGGAATCTATTTTCTTTTCTATGTGAGAAATTTATCATCACTTATCAAAATGCATTCAGTTCATTGAAGCAAGGTTAATTATCTGGAACTTAATGACTCTTGGAAATCGTACTTTTCTTCAAAGGTCCCTAGATATTATTTGTATTATAAAGATAAAAATACTGGGGTTTCTTGAACACAATTTCTCTTCTAGAAGAATTATCCCCTTTCAACTATGTTTTCTCTTACAAAAGTTTTAATTATTCCAATTATGAATGTCTTTTGGTATGTAGTATCTTACTTACATTTTTACCACCTCATTAAGTCCTCTGAAAGCTTGAGATGGGATTAGTTTGATAGGGAGATAGGTGAGTGATCTAGAAAAGAAAAAAGGAAAGCCAAGAGTTTAATATTTAAGACTGGGTACCTTTCAAGTTCATGAATGTGTGTGTGTGTGTCTACAGAGTTCCAGACACTGGTTTCAGGTGGAGAATTCTAACTTACATCAATAAAGAGATGTGCCATAACTCACTCTTGGTCTTTATCAAAGATATTTATTTTGTATTAAGATGCTCAACTTTGGGATCAGATACACCGGAGTTCATATCTCCACAGGTGATCCTGAGGATGTTATTTAAGCCCTCTATTTCAGTTTCTTCATCTATAAAATTGGAATAATAATTCCAGCTTCACAAGGTTGTTACAATTAATCAAGATAAGCCATGTAAAGAACAGGGCTTGACACCAAGTAAATAGTTGATAAATAGTTCTAGGGTGGCCCCACTGGCCTGGTTGGGAAGATGGAAAAGAAACTGCCTTGGGTAAAGTAAAGAAATTACTGGTGAAAATACAATTGGACACCAGGCAGGCAGGAGAAGGAAAGATTCACTAGGAACATGTTCCTATTTTGATCCATACCATCTTCCCCAGGTAGCCAATTTCAGTTTCCTCCCAACCAGAGCAGTTGGCTGCTATGGTTCAATCACATGGGCATCTCATGCCATTTTGGGAGAACATCTATAGAGCATTTCCTTCAGGCACTTGCCTATATCCAGAGGAACAATCTAAGCATTCTGGAATAGAGATAAAAGTTATATGTTACCTAAAAGTTGAGAAAAGAGCAATTATTCAGCAATAGCAAAAGCAGAACAGGATGATGTATGTGCACTAAAGGAACCCCATGTTCAGATAGCTCAGAAGAAAGTGTCTGCAGAGCAGGAATGAATGTTCAACTGATATTTATCAAGCATTTACAATGGTTGAGTGTTTTGGCCCAAGCATTGGCAGAGAGGAGGTGAAGGGACCAGGACATTTCAGGTGGGAAGTCAATGTCAGGAGTATGAGAGTGGAGGTGGGAGATGCTGCCTTGCTTTTCACGTGTCTATGAAGCACACTGTCTTAGTTACCAGGAAAGAACATCTTCTGCATCATGAGTGCATTTAATCAGTGAGCTGTCTTGCAGTCTTGGAAGGGACTTGCTATGGTATAAGGTGCTATATGAGCTGTGCACACCTGCCTATAACCTTACAGGCACACAATGGTATGAGTTGCGTATTTCCCTTCGATAGCAGAAGAACTAGATCACAAAGAGATTCAGTAGCCCAAACAAAGTAACACGAGCAAGTAGACTGAGCCCAAAATGTTCTTTCTATGGTGAGATATTGGGCCAAAGTATGTGATTCCTAACCCAGTCCCTTTCTACCTCCCAACTTTACTGAGGAATAACTGACAAATATAATTGTATATATTGAAAGTGTACAATGTGATGATTTGATATACAGATGCATTGTGGAATCATTACAGAGATCAAAATAATTAACGTATCTGTCACCTCACGTAGTTAACTCTTCTTTTTTGGGGGGCAGGAGGTGAAAAAACTTAAAATCTACTGTCAGCAGCTTTCATATATATAAAACCATATTGTTAACTATAGTTACCATGCTGTACATTAGATAATCAGATCATAGTCTTATAACTCAAAGTTTGTGTCCTTTTAGAAAAACATTTTTTTAATGTTTATTTATTTTTGAGGAGAGATTGAGAGAGTATAAGCGGGTGAGTGCAGAGACAGAGAGAGTGAGACCTAGAATCTGAAGCAGGCTCCAGGCTCTGAGCTGTCAGCACAGAACCCAATGCGGGGCTCGATCCTACAGACTGAGAGATCGTGACCTGAGCCGTAGTCAGATGCTTAACCAACTGAGCCACCCTGGTGCCCCAAAGTTTGTGCCCTTTGATTTATATTTCATTTCCCCCGCCCTAGCCCCTGGCAACCATGATTCTCTTGTTTCTAGGAAATTGACTTTTTTTGGTTTGTTTGTTTGTTTTGTTTTAGATTTCATATAAATGATATCATACAGTATTTGTCTTTGTCTGGCTTATTTCACTTGGCATAATGCCCTCCAAGTTGGTCTATGCTGTCACAAATGGCAGGATTTCCTTCTTTTTTATGGCTGAAAAATATTCCTCTGTGTGTGTGTGTGTGTGTGTATTTACCATTCATCCATTGAAGGACCCTCAGGTTGTTTCCGTATCTTGGCTATTATGAATACTGAACATGGGATACAGAGATCTCGTAGAGTTCATGATTTTATTTCCTTCTGATATATACCCAGGTAATCTATTCTCTCTCAGTGAGCAAGGTGGAGGGACAGGCATTGTGACCTTGTTTCTCTTGAGAGGAGAAATGCCACACTCTCACAATTTCTCCTGCAAAACAGCTTACCAACAGTTCCTCTCCAGGGGCTAATGCAAAGAAATTTCATTTCAGAAAAATACTTTTGCTCAACAGTCTCTTAGAGATGGTGCAACATAGAGGAAGTAATCCAAACTGGGTTCTCTGATTTTATTCTTGAAGACAGTCCCACCAAGCACATTGTTCAATACCCAAACTTATTTAACAGGGCATCCAAGAAGAACAGGGACAGTGGGGGGAGAAATCTTCTTACGATGGCATGTTTGCTTCCCATATTTCTTCTGGAATCATGTCCGCTTGGCTTACTGATTAAAAACACAGTTTTATTGCTCTCTGCCCTGCCAAGTCAATAAATTTCCAGAAGAGAAAGCTGTATTCTACTGTACCCCATGCAACATCAATAAAACTGACAGCCAAATTCTGATTCCAGAATCTTTATTGCTAGGGATAATGCAGTGCAGAACATATTTTGGAGAGTGTTTACATAAAAGCTTAAAACGAACCCTTCAGAGCTGTTTATTCATGCAAATGGAAGCCAGAAGCTGGAGCCTCTCAGCAGGCAGCCTCCCCATCCAAAAGGGAGTATGGTGGGTTCCCAGGAGAGCACTTGGCTCAGATTTGACCAGGGAGGTTGCCTGAGCTTTTGATTGATGTAGGGATGAGGGATGAGGAGCAAAGGCTGGACAGAAGTGAGAGAAGCTGTAGCTCATGCACTGACCGTCCCCAGTGACTACAGAACAGCCCTGGTGCAAGATGAAATTTTGCAGTTGACGTTGATGCTGCAGCTCAGGAAAGGCAGTAGTGATGAGAGTAAAAATAAAGTTCCTACCAGAAAGGAGCCACTGAGCAAACAGTGGGTAGCTGTGTGGATGTGACTGGGGGGAGGAAGGGGCCTGGGGGCCAGGGAATGGGGAGACAGGTGAGGTGACGCAGGTGTACTGAGCTTTTGACGCTAGATGTGTTCTCATGAAGTGAGATGCAGAATGTGGTTCCATGAATCCAAAGCTGTTTTTCCCACTGACTTATATTTTTATTTTGTAGATGTCATGTCTTTATTCCTGATTCATCTTCAGTTGGCAGCAGTTTCTAAGCATTCAAAGGCCTGTCTCCTGCATTTAAACGTTTGTTCATGTGGCCTGTGGTTGCCAATAACCATTTGAATGTACTCCCTTTGAAGGTGCTTCTTTCTCTGATGGGTGCTTTTATGAGGCCAGAAACTTTTAGCAATGTGAACAACTGCCTCCATAACCCTGCAGTTCTATTCCTGTATACACCCCAGAGAAATTCTGACACTGATACTTACGGTAACCTATGTAGGGATTTTCTTCATGGCACTGTGGCATGGTGGGGGGGGGGGGCGGGGTGTGGATGCAAACCGAGTGTCCGTTACTGAGTGTGAGAATGGTAGTGGGGACAGTGCATACCTAACTAACAGGTCAGCAGTTAGAAGCAGGAGTCTAAAGGCACAGAGAACAGCCTGTGTGGACCTTAGAATCATGGTGCTGAGAAGAATAAGAAAGTAATGATACGAAATCCTACTTGCAGAATTAAAATACATGCACACTAAACATTAGACATTTTAAGGGAAAACACCTAAGCACATATTAGGATGGTTGCCTATGGCGAGTTGAAAGGAAATGAGAGAAGGGGGTAAAATAAATAACTGAAAACAGTGACTTTGAATGGACTGGTGATAATGTTGCTTGAAGGAAGAAGTGTGATTGACTTAACCGTCTGCATCTGAGAGACAAAAAAAGAAAAGTTTTTTGTTTTGATGTATCGAGTTCCCTTTTTTTCCCTTCCCTCCCCACTTCCTTCTTTTTTTCTGTGTTTGAAATTAGGCCTATATGTATTCCAAGAATTGTGTGAACTTCAGGAACTCTTGTGGAAAGGCCTAGTCAATATGATTTGATATAGAGCAGCAGCCAGAGAGAACTGGGAAAAAAAAGACCAAAGGCAAGGACAATTCAGCGGCTCTGCTGTCCAGGGTCAAAAAAGGGCATGAAAGCTATTCAAAAAGCAAAGACATATAAAAGAGGGGCAGAGCCTTTTCTGTCTCAGACAAAGAGTGTGACACTTCCAAATGATGCAGCTCAGATGGTGGTAAAGAGCCAGGCTTCTTGTGCAAATGTGAGGTTGAACTTGCGGGATAGAAAGTTTTCTCTGCCTCCTAAATAGTGAATGAGAAGGAAGTTCATGTATGTGTGGACCAATCCAGATACTTGTATTTTTTACATGTCACAGCTTGCTTTCTTGCTTTCTCTCTCTCCCTTTCCTCCCTTCCCTCCCTCCCTTCCTTCCTTCCTTCCTTCCTTCCTTCCTTCCTTCCTTCCTTCCTGTCTTTCTTTTTACCATTTAAAATTTTGATTTTTAAATGAATGGATGATACAACACGGTGACACCTGGATTATGGCCAGATCCCATTTTGCTCAAGCACCTGTGCCACAGATGTTGAAACAAATACTTAGACAAGATGGCAAAGTGTGCCTTAGTTTCATCCATTATGAAAACTCCATTTATTCATGAATCCTGTCTGCAAGCCCCCAACCCTTCTGGTTATAGGTTAAAGTTAACATAGAAGGGGCGCCTGGGTGGCGCAGTCGGTTGAGCGTCCGACTTCAGCCAGGTCATGATCTCGCGGTCCGTGAGTTCGAGCCCCGCGTCAGGCTCTGGGCTGATGGCTCG